CGGTTTGCCAGCGCTAGTTCTGACAGATGCCCACGCAACAGCTATCGACAGCGTACTAGGCAAGTACCTACGGACGCTAGCGGGAGGAACAATGTCGTGGACCAGAACAGATGGGACAGTGAGGTGCAACAACTTGCGACAGGTGTTCAGATACTGGAGACTTGAGCGCACATCCGTCTCTTTGCTGGTGCGACGCCTACGGTGGTATCAGAATTGGTCAAGGCACCCTTGGGAGCACGGAGCAGTCATAGCAGCGGTGTTCGGAACATCCAGACTAGACGCAGCTCAGGGCATACGTCGACTTGAGGGGCAGGGATTTGTGGGGCCCACCTCCACCCCGTGGGCACAGCAGTTTGCAGCCGACATGCATGTGATAGCAACAGTGGACGAGAGCATGGGATGGTACGCAGACAGGGAATCCGACCTCGCTATATTCGAACAGGGGAGTACGGAACAAAAAAACTGGTTACAAACAGACCCATCAATACTGTACAGTTACGAGCGAAATTGGGATGTGCTCACGACACGAGATGCGACGATACAGGGGGAGGAGGGCAGGGAGGAGGATACACCAAAACCATATTGGTGCGATCATACGACGAAGGGCGAAAACGACACAGAGCAGAGGTGTGGCATGCGCTTTGCGACATACGCAGCACTAGCTGGGCATCGCCGAGAGACCCACAACATCCGACCAGTGGTGGCGTCCGTAATCGTCAACAACCAGTGTCCCTGGTGCAAGAGCACATTTATTAACCGTAAGGTATGTGTCGACCATGCAGTCAGGGCAGTACACGGCCACGGTATATGCCACCAAGACAGGTCGATGTGGTCCCACCCCATTTCCGACCCCAGCTCCCTCAGCTGCCAGATCTGTAACCACGAGGCTCAAACTCTTGAGGATTACCACGCACACATACGTGAGCACATAGCAGGGCCAGAGTCGATCAGAGCAGCACGGGGGGAAGGAGCACATGTCGCACGTGGGCCGCGGCGACTGGCGCATCAGGGCCAGCACGAAGAGAGGAGGAGGCGCAGCCGAAGGGCAGCGACCAGCACAGCGCCCACACCTCGGCGGCGGCGGAGTCGGCTCGCCAGACACTCAGCAGTCGCAGCAGACGCCGCAGCAGCCGCCTCCCACCCAGCGCCGAGGAGGAGGAGGTCGAGGACCCCCAGGAGGCGGCCGTGGTGGGGGAGGAGGAGGCCAAGTGGAGCTGCGGGACCAGCTGAGATCGCTCCAGAGGCTCACTCTCCAGAACTCGAACGAGATCCGCAACTTTCTGCACCTCACGGGAGAGTTCTGGCTGACGCCGCTCGAGCCAGAATGGGTGCAGGCGCCGATGGAGACAGGCAGGGAGTACGGGCGGAAAGTAAAGCAGCTGGGCAAAGGGCACGGCCTCGGCCCACCTCATGGCCAGGTGGCGGCGAGTCTAGTCGAGGAGATCGTGGCGGTGCTCGACGCGGAGGAGCAGCAACTAGA